AATAGTTCTCAAAATAGTTCTCAGCATGAACTTTAGTTATTGGAATACTACCAGTGAAACAACAGAAAACAACCTTTTTCTAAATAATTTGTGATGCTTATGTTTTAAGTTGCTGTTCTATTTAATGCAGAAACATTTTGTATGTTTTCTGCTCACACTTTCGTGTTACTCACTGAAATAGGTTTACGTGATGGAAACATCACCACCTTGTTTCAAACAGTTTCACTGGAATCTGTTTAAAGAGGTGAAAGGCATGGGAGACAGAGAGGGAACAGGCAGATACCAGGCACATTGAACCAGGTGAGTGTCTCTCTTGTCAAGATAAAAGATGTGCATTACTTAGACTTTGAATTTGGGCTAAGGGTTACCTGCTGAAAGAGGCAAGAGTACAGAGCTGCTTTGGGTATCTTCACCTCACATTGCTCTATATCCTTTGTGTAACTATCCCATTTCCAGGATGGAAACTGATTTGTTTGTTAACAGACATAATGACTTCGCCCACTCAGTTGCTGAAAATTTAAACTGTTAGCTCTAATTCAATAAACCATTTCTAATCTCAGTTAATACTTCAGCTGAGTGACTGCAAATCCAGTAATATGCAGGTAGTCCACAAAGGTAATAAAACAGCCCCCAGGTCCCTTTCCCCTACACTGCTCTCCAGCAGGTCACCCCCAACCTGTCCTGGTGCATGCTGTTTCTCTTCCCCAAGTGCAGAACTCAACACTTGCCCTTGTTAAACTCCATCAGGTTCCTCTCCGCCCAGCTCTCCAGCCTGTCCAGGTCTCTCTGGATGGCAGCACAGCCTTCTGGTGTGTCAGCCACTCCTCCCAGCTTAGTGTCATCAGCCAACTTGCTGAGGGGACACTCTGTACCCTCCTCCAGGTCATTGATGAAGATATTGAACAGAGATAGTGATAAGAACAAGTTGTTCCATCACCTTCCCAGGGATGGAGGTGAGGCTGACAAACAAGAAAGCTTCTCACAATATTCCCAGGTAGTGCCAACAAGCTTTCATTTTCATACGTCCACATTCTGAACAATGAGATCTAGAATTCCTCACCTTGAAAACTCTTGTTTTGATTGAATGGGTAGGTGTTCCCAAGGACCAAGCTGCTGGGGTCAATCACAATCTCTTTGTATACTCCTGCTGCTTTCACAATTTCTCTCCTCCCACCTCCTTCATAAAGGCGAAGAGTAAATTCATTCTCATGTCTCTCCAGTGTGATGTGATGCCACTCACCATTATCAACGTGGTAGGAGGGAAGGCTTACAGAATAGTCTCCATCCCCCAGATTATATGAGACCACCAAGAATCCCTGAACAACCTGGTGAATAATTAACAAAGTAGTAAGAAAAAAAAAAAAAGTCATCACCTGACATTTTGTATTACCCAATAACTGTCACAGTACTTGAACTGAGACTTGTATGCAAAATCAATCTTAAAGCATTTGTTTAAACTTAGGGTATGTTTATGCTGCATGTTCAGTGCAACACAAAGACACTTCATGTGCTGTTGAACTAAATACTGGGAGCAGTGTACTCACAGCAGTACGTAATTCACTCAGAAACAGGGGAAGGTTACTTTCTCTTGGACAAATTCAGAGTGTTCAAATGACTGAGAATCTGGTGTATTGCTTCTACACTGGCAGCTCAAATCAATTTTGCTGAAGAGGTGACTCAGTCAGAAGCATGCATAAAATTAAGAGGTGGCCAATTTGAGAGTCAGACATTGTTAGAACTGGTACAGGCACCCTTCTTGGCTATGCAGAATCAGCCTCTCATGAATTCACGCCCCATGGCTGAATAGGACACCAGGGTAGACACATTACTCATCCTATTCTGTACAGCAAACTGTACTTCACTGTAACTGGCAATAAATTCCTTCGAAATGTAAGGGGCTACTATGGCTGCGTAGTCAATAAGTGAAGGATCAGAGCTGTAAGTGTCCATAAAGTGAATCCCAAAGTTTCTGTGCTTAGCATAAGGTTTTTGGATTCATTTCCAATTCTTAAGCTAACGGTGCTCCAGGCTAAGCACTCACCAGCATTAACTTTGGGCTGTTACTGCCTGGAATGCCTCGCTCACCTGCAGGGTGATGTGTTCATCCTTCTGTCGAGATGACATGCTGGTGATGACACTGTCAGGCTGCCGGGTCCTAATCACAGCCTCAAACAGTGTCCTACGGGCAGGCAGGCTGCCGGGCAGCTGATAGTGAATGTGGCTCCCTGGCCCAAACGTATACTCCTTGGCAACTAAAAAGACAGCATAAAGACCTTTAAGCTGTTTTGTAGGGAGAGGAAAATGTTATGGTTTCCATTATTTTCATAGTAAGAGTTGAAAGTAGAAGAAAAAACTTGGAATGCACAGCACAGAACCATGAGACGTAACTTGTCTTTTGGGGCATGTCCCTTTTTCTGTTTCCACAACTTCCCCAGTCCCTCTCCCACTTCATCTTCCTCTGTAAAGAGGTCATCTCCCTCCTGATGTCATCCTGCTAATGCGTCTCATTACAATGTTGACACAGTATGACAGCAGGAAAGCAAAAGCTCCAACCAAGATAAAAGAGACTGCAAAGTATTAATTTTCACAACCTGCTATTTTATGGTTATTTATTTGCTGTAAACTTTGGCTATGTGAGGGCTAAAGAAAAGTTCCTACTACACCAGAAGTGCAGATCCTTAAGCCAACTGAGTCTCCTCCAGACACCAGCAGGCAAGTAATTTCCAATTCCTGTTGTGTAGTTCTAATTTTGCACAGTAAGTGGTACTGGCACACCTGGATTTAAGTTTCAGGCTATTAGATACTTCTGAAAGTTTAAGCAGGTGCAAATTCAAAAAACTGTAACAAGAACAAGTAATTTTGTTCACAATTCTTTTGTCAGTCTCCATTATACAGTTATTGCACAAACACTTTCAGGAATAAAGAAATGATCTGAGAGTGAGAAAGTCCTCAAAGAGAATTAGAAAAGAAGTTGTTGAAAATCACAGGTGACTACACTGAAAAAATGGCTTTACATGATGTAAGCATCAGAAACCACCTCAGCAATCATTACCTGCAAACGTTTAAGTTTTCTGTATCATAAAATTTACCAGCCTCTCAATAACAGAAGAGAAAACCAGACTTCACCTTTCTCGCATCGATCGCCGTAGTAACCTGGCCAACAGTGGCAAGCAAACGAGCCCCAGCCTCCAAGGCACCTCCCGTGACTACCACAGGAAGGAGACCCCATGGTCTCACAGCTCCCATCCGTGAGTGTGCAGCCAGGGAAGCTATTCAGAGACTCTGCAGGAGACTGAAGGTCATACACCTTCAAGAGAAAATTGCACAACACTGAAATATTACTTAAGAAACATTTACACTTTATTTTTAAGCAGAAATAGCTGTATCAAGTAACAGTGTGTTCTTCATCTGCACTGCTTAAGATGCTAAGTTTGCTTTTTGACATTCAGGTTTCAACGTATTGTCGAGATCATATTTTGCCTATGAATAAACTCAACTGACTATGAAAGCAAAAAATCCCAATATTTCCTAACAAACCAGGCAGCTGGGATAAATATATCATTACACAACCACCATTCAGAAGTTCCCCAAATGTACAAAGAAACCTGGAACACAGCTCCATGAAGTAGGAGATAAACAAAGCACCAGTTTCTGGCTCACAAATACCTATGTTTGCAATGGAGAAATAACTTTTCAAGGTAGCTATCCTAATTATTACAGAAAAATCCAGAATTTTCTTCTCTTTTACACTGACACATACAGGTGTCACACAGATTAACAGAGGCAAAAGTTTCAGGTATAATCCAAACCTACCAAAAATTTAATTAAAAAAAGTCTACTCCTTTGCTAAAGCAAAAGGTTACACTTCCCTTACCTGAGTATCCAAGATGAAATTGTGCAAACAACCAGAGAAGTGTTTGTGTTGCAGTTGTGGATAAGAATATGGTAACGACTCTTTCACACCACCCAGCTGTAGAACATAGTTCACATTCAAATACCTTGAAAAATTATATGGATGACAAAAAGAGATGTGACTTTGCCTTCAGACATAGGCATTATATAACAGGGCAGACAAACAAACATCTGCACTGCATTTCCAAATAACAGAGGTAATCTAAAATAACAAAAGAATGCAACTATCTGGTCTTCCTTCTCTGAACTGCAGTCAGTCAGTGAGCAGAAGCCAGCCCTGTAAGACAAGGGGTCATTTATTTTTTAAACTTGGCAGTGAAGTCTATTGGGAATTCAAGACAGGTGTTCAAGACAGGAACAGCTAGATACCATATTCTCCTTCAGGTGCTTCTGTGGGTGGTCATGCATCCTAGGCTGCAGGAATACTACAACAAAGACTGTTTTGGGCATGATAAAGGTCAGAAACCTAGAAGCTTGCTCAATATGTTTTAAAAGGTACAGTACACACGTTCAGGCAGTAGCTCCCAATCATCTCTCTGTGCCTAAGAATTCCACATATTCTAGTTGTCACAAAGTTTCTTCTTCCCTGAGTTATCAACTCCACTTTTTGGTTTCATTTGTTCTTACATTTTTCCCTTTTTGTGTGCTCCTTCATGACCACAAGGCCTCCATGCATCTGCTGCTAAGGCATAATCCTAACGCTCTTGCTGGGACTACCTATTCCACAGCTTGAGTATCTTTCTTAATACAAAGGTTTCCCTAAAATATAATCTAAATTTTTCTCACTGTAACTTAAGGCCCTATACAGAAGAAATTGTCCAAATCCTCTTTGTAGCACTCTTTCTTTTATATACACTGAGACTTTTGATATCTCTCCTCAGTTTTCTCTTCTTTCAGTTAAGTGACCTCAATTCCTTCCTTCGTGATAGGTCTTATTCTCAAGGGAAGCTGATTACAGGCATTGCTCTTCTCAGGACTACCCAGTCAGTGCTCATTTAGCCTGCACTGTGCTGCACAAACTGGACCCAGGACTCCAGCTGAGGCTAAAGAGTGCTAACTAGAGTGGAAGGATTCTTTTCCATGTTTCAAAGAGGTACACATGTTGAGGTATTACTGCACAGTGGTTGCCTTTTTCATGTTAATGCAGCATTGTTGACTCACTCTCCAACTACTATCCTTGTCTTTCACTGATACTTAGCTGTTGTTCCCTTCTCCCTATTTGAGGCTGGTTATTTCTGCCTATGCACAGTACTTGGCCCTTGGACATAGTGGAAAAACACAGAATATTTCCAGGTACTATTTTCAGTTTGTTGAGATAATTTTTAATCCCCAGCCATGCTCTCCAACATACTGGTCATTTTTCCCAGCTTGGTGTCATCAGCAGGGCAACATCATGGGTCCAAAGGATTGGATTATCCTGAGTCCAAACCCCTGTAGAATGCAGCTGAGCACACCCCTCTATCTAACGCGATATGTAACAACCACTTCCCAAATAAGATTTTCCAACTTTTTCAGTTTTAACTGAGGCCAAGGGCTGACCCAACAGCACAAGCAATTTAAACCACCAGAGCCATGTGGAATCGTGATTTGCAGAGCAGGATGGCACGTTCTGCTGAGCATGAAAAAAACAGTGTAGTCAGTGAGATCCTTGTAAGCCTGAGAAAATTCACAGAAGTATCTATCAAATAGCAAATGTTTACAGCTAGTGGATTCTGCTGGCTGCTCGCCCAGGCAAGTTTGTAAACATCAGCAGAACTTTCTCCTAACAACTTTGTGAACTAGGCAAAGCTGGCAGAGCGCGTGGACAGCGTATGGACAGTAACTGTTACCCAACCAGTCACTCAGCTCAGGCTCGTTGACCTGTGGGGCTCAGGGGGCTGTCTCTTGTCGACTATAAAAGGCTGTAAAACTTTGCAATAAATGGATCTGACTGCAGACCCCCTGGAGTGCCTCTCTCCTCTCCAGAGCCCCTTCCCAACAGAGTCATTACTGAGCTCTGGCTGTATTACCTCACTGAAAACCAACCTCAGGTGGACTGTACGTCCCACTTTGAGGCAGTGCAGCCCCAGGCCAGCACACCAGCACCAGCCTGCCTTCCTCAGCAGCAGTTTATCCGAGTACACCAGGCTGGGAGTGAACAGCTGAGGTGTGGCTGCACATGCCCTTCCTCTGACTGTGCTACAAAGGCAATAGCTCTGGATCCACAGAAGACACTGGTGTCTTAGTTTGCCTTAACACGTTTGCCAAAGGTTGTCAGTAGGAGCTCTCAGACTTATACAAATCAGACAGTCAGATTGGTTGAGGATCCAGAGTTGTTGCTATTAAAAAGTCAACTGGCCTAATTTAATGTGGTATTCAAGAACAGGCTTACAATGACTTGCTAAATAAAGTGAGAGAAATCCTGTGGGTAACAGATGGTACACAGGAGCCACAAAAGCTCAATTTGATAGGTCAAAAATTCAAAGGCCTTAGAAAAACTGTCTTTCAGTCAATCATCTCCAGAAATGTACCTTGCTCTTCGTGGAACAGACCCGAAGACTTCACAATTTGTACGATCTTCAGTAGACAGCCATTTGCCTACTCCTTCTGGTTCTGAAACAACAGCTGCACTGCAGTGATCCAAAATGAATCGAACATCCTACACCAATACACAGAATTACTGAATTCAGAATTTCTGTAGAATTCAATAAACAAGATGTATCAAATTTTCATTGTTTTTTTTTTACATACCATCTAGCAGGTGGCGTTGCTGTATTTTTTTTCCTGATGTTTTCCATCTTGCAATAACCAATGAAGCCAAAATGCAACCATTTAATAAAAGAAGGCACTTAACTCTGCATTTAATTTATGCTTTTGAGTAGTTTAACCACTTTCACAAAACTATAACGGCATTTGCAAACAAATAATTGTCTGCTTTTTATCCATAGGTAATTGAATTCAGTGTCCAAATGTGTACACCAAATGTGCAAATTACAGCTAAGCCTTTATGCACATTCCCCATGTGCTGAAGAGCTTAAAAAGCAAGAAAAAAGATCCTCTGATCCCAGAGTATGGTTTACAACACAGGTAGATTTGGAACTGACAATGCTGTCTCCCCAAAACTTGTATTATTCATCAAATCTACAAGTATAATAAGAATAATACATTAAATTACCCAGTCCCTTTTTCTACCCTCATGTTTCTGCACTGAGAAATGTTACTGGAAATATAAATATCCTGATGTGGGAAAAAAGAAAATAACTGACCTGACCATTGGTTCTCACTTCTAGATGATGCCACTTTTTGTCTGATACATTCACGTGACTTGGAAACTGCAGCATCACAAAACCTGAGCCATGGCTCATCTTCAGCACAGGAATTCCACTGGAGAGTTCTAACACAACATGAACAAGAAATTCACCTACAAGAATCTTCCCATTTTGGATGTGTTAGCAGACAGTGAACGCATTCATTTCATGGGTTTTGCCAGTCACATAAAAAGGAGTTCACTACAGAAATCACTAGAATTATATTCTATGGCTTCTATTATGCAGAAATAGTCATTCAATGTGGTATTTCTTTTTGTAATTTAGATTGTGCCACCTCTGTGTCAAAATGCTGAAACTAATTCCTGATAAGCAATCTGCAATTTTAGAATGCTCTAAAACAATTCACACATGCAGGTTTTACTCTCTCCCATGTTCTACTCAACTTAACAAGTAACTGAAAAAAAAAAAAAAAAGCTAAATGAATCATAGAATCACAGAATGTTAGGGGTTGGAGTCCAGCTCCCCAGAGCAAGGACCATCTAGTCTAGGGCAGGTCACACAGGAACGCATCCAGATGGATATTAAAAGTCTCCAAGGTAGGAGACTCCACAACCTCCCTGGGGAGCCTGTTCAGTGCTCTGGAACCCTTACAGTAAAGAAGTTCTTCCTCAGGGCATAAGTGAGAAGAGGTTGCCCCTTCCTTCCTGACACCCAGCCTTCCTATACTGATACACACTAATTAGATCCCCCTTAAAGTCTTCTCTTCTCCAGACTAACAAGCCCCAGGTCTCTCAGCCTCTCCTCATAAGGCAGTTGTTCCAGTCCCCCAGTCGTCCTCATAGCCCTGTGCTGGACTCTCTCCAGTAGATCTCTGTCCCTCTTGAAATGGGGAGCCCAGAACTGGACACAATACTCCAGGTGTGCTCTAACCAGGGCAGAGCAGAGGGGCAGGAGGACCTCCCTTGTTCTGCTGGACACACTTTTCTTAATGCACCCCAGGATCCCATTGACCTTCCTGGCCCCAAGGGCACACTGCTGTCTATGGACAACTTGTTGTCCACCAGGACTCCAAGGTCCCTCTCCACAGAGCTGCTCTCTAGCAGATCACCTCCTAACCTGTACTGATGCATTTTATTCCTCCTGCCCAGGTGCAGGACTCTGCACTTCTTCTTGTTGAACCCCATGAGGTTCCTCTTGGTCCAGCTCTCCATCCAAATCTCGCAGGATGGCCGCACAGCCCTCAGGCGTGTCAGCCAAACCTCTCAAATGATTTCACAATATCCAACAACGTTACCTTTCAATTAATTAGGAAAATTCCAAACACACTGTGCATCTTGTATATTAATTCAGAAAAAAATAAGCCGTAGTAACCCTTTATACATGTCAACTTAAAGCAACGAGTTCTATTTGTGTACTGAATTTTCCTACAGTGGCATTTTGGGGCTGGATTCATCCATCAAATCATTGTCTGTTTTAAAAAAGTGCAAAAATGACCCAAGACTGAAAGCAGTTTAAGTGGCTTTCCTTTCTCACCAAACTGGGTAAGAATAACACACACTAAGACTGCATTAACCATGTAATACCTATCTCCAAATTACAGCAAATTCCCTTAAATCACCACAGCTTTCCTAGGGGGATCACTTTTATTTTTTTTCCCCTATTTATCCATCTGTCCATTTTGCTTTCCCCTTGATTTCTCCAACTCTGTGATGGACCTAAAGCTATCGCTGCAGGCTACAAAAATAGACATTGAAGAAGACAGACCTATCAGGAAATGTTTCAAAATATTTTCAATCCAGAAAATAAATTATTTCATAAGGTGAAAAGACAAAATTCATACTGTAACTACTACGCTGTTCACAGGCAACCCAGTCCCAAAAGACAGTTAATTTTTTCAACCACTTTTGCCAAAGTACCTATTGCAATGAAGTGTTCTATCCTCCCAGGTTCTGGATTTGATACAGGACCGCTATATAGTAGAAGTCCATCTGGATCCATAGTAATAAACTCTAGAGAGAGCAAGCTTTCAAAACAAGGCCTGATGGGACGAAACCATGCATAACCATTTCCATGGAAACTGTGCTTAGTCTGCTGGCAGTCTGGTCCATGGAATGAAGCAGGGCAAAGACATCTGAAAGAGCACAAATCCAAAGAATAGTCAAAATTCCCCAGTGTTCAACTTTGGTTTTTTTTTTGGCTTACATGCAACAAATGTAGCACTTAAATGTAGCACTTAAATGTGGCACTTAAAATCACAGCAAAAAAAAAAACGCAGTAAACCAAGATTTTAGCAGAGTTTCAAGGATGATTGGCAAGTACTTAAAATACTTTAAGAGTACAAAGCATATTTATCCACTACACTATCTCCAAAAGAAAGTATTGTTGAGGCCATGCTTTTAAGAACAGTGAATTATTTCCTTAAATAAGTCACATAGAACACCAAACATCAATTGATCAATTTATTGCAGAGAAAACTTAGGGAGGTTAATTTCTAGCTAAAATAAACCAGTATGATTTCACTTAGAGGAATACTGGTGCATGCCAGGTAATGCTATAATAAACCAAGTTTCCCATCTAATGTTTTCTAAACATTATCCTTATCACCAATTTTTTAAACTACATTTCACTGTCCCTACATCCCTGCTGCTACCATGCATACTTACCTTTATTATTATTCTTCCAGAAAAAAAAAAAATCTAAACAAAGCAAACAAAACCCGAGGACACACTTCCCACTCCTTCATACTGAATTGGATGCTCTTAAAAAATTATACATGTTAATTATATCACTGTTTTTTCCCCAGGGTTTTCCTTCTTACACGTTTATTTCTGCCGCCTTCAGGACTACAGCACCATCTTTGGGCCATCAGTGAAAGGTCTTGTTGCCATCAGGTTTACACTCCAGCACCCTCATTGCCTATTTTGTTTCCCCTTCAGTCAGAAGGAATGATTTTTTTAGACCTGTAGCTTTTAAACTCCACTCAACACTTTAAAAATAGAAAAGAAGTAAGAGAATCTCCAATTCAGGTCTCCTCACCTGTAACCGTTCGAAGTGTCAATACACGTCCCGCCATTGAGGCAAGGGCTTTGAGGGTAGGAGGAACAGGACTGATGGAGGTGGTCCCTAGCTGAGCAGGTGCAGACTGCACGGATGGAGGGGGTTACTGAGACAAAGGACGTGCTGCCAGCATCCACCACTGCTGGGATGTCACTCAGGGTGAGGTAGTTTGCACAGCCACTGCCCTCGCTGCAGTTCGTGTTCACACACTCATCCACATCGATCTGAGAAATGGGCAGTTGTAAAGCTGACTGGATCTAAGAGAAAATACAGTTAAGCACATCACCAGTCTTGTCCTAATTAATGCTTTAACTATCAAGGCTGCCATTATTTCAGACCTTTTGTACTTTAGCCAGTAGCCTACACAATGGTCTAAGTTATCACCAAGTTTGTTCCCCGGCCCAATGGATTTCTCCCTTCTACTTGTTTGGGGATTCTGCACAGGCACCTATAAAGCTGCAGAATTTCATTTGTTATTTGGTGATTTGCATACATTAAAATGATGCACATTTAGTGCCCAAACCTCAATACAAAAGACCTCACTACTCTCACACTGAACGTAAAACTAACTTGGACTCTCTTAATTTACACATTTAATATCTATTTTTCTCAATAATAAGATGTATGACAAGTAGCTTCAAAACAAGCTTTGAAAAGATCAAAACAAATAGATAAATACTAAAGTGTGCTTTTTTCACTTGTGAAGCTGTCTCAGTTCACCACTGTTAAGAACTCTGACCTCCATAATCAATTGTCAGTATATCCTCAAATATCATCACATGTATTGAAAGACATATCCCCAAGGGCATAAAATCTGCTTTAGAATGACAGGATGAATCCTGTCAATGCAGATTCATGTCTGCCACCCACATCTATCCCCATCAGTGGAGAGACATCTAGACAGCTACCTCATACTGCTGTAGCAAACCACTGTGTATATAAACAAACTTGTCTCCTTTACAGTATTACAACAGATTATTTTTCTGCTAAATAAAAATGGCTGTTGTAAAGCTATATCCCAAAGAGGTAATGTAAACATACTATTTCTTTAGCTATTCAGTGAATAATTCCAGTGTTAATTACTGATTTTCTATATTTATACTTAAACACATGTACAAAAACTAGTGGAGAAATTCTCCAGCTATGATCAGTTTTCTGTAAACTATTGGTGATTACTCACTAAAGCTATTCATTAAATATTGGAAGGGGATATATAATTAATACAAACATTTTTTCATTAAAATATGTGAAGTAATTCTCTTGTTACCACTTTGATTAATTCACTTGTCATATACTATGGCACAGAATATTTTAAATCTATGCAATTTTCTATAGTATTGCTGCAGTAATTCAATAAATATTCAGAAGAACTATGCTTCCTGAGTATTATCTGTCTCTGGTATTTCCTACTTGGTCACTCTGACGAGTCTCAACATCTACACAGCTATCCAAGATATAGAAAGAGTTAAACAGATGCTTGATAACCCTGGAGAATATACCTCTTCTTTAAAGGCTGCCATCTCAGCATGCAGCTTCTCAGGTCTGTAATATGCTGAACCATCCTGGACAGCAAATCTTACATCTGTCTGTTTCCCATCAACGTCCATCACGCTGAAGACAATGACATCACTAAGCTCAGCAGGTAACATTTTTGCTAGTAGCTCCTTGAACTTGTCATGTCTCGTTTTGCCATCTTCACCTCTCCTTATGAACTCCTCCGCTGTGACATCTGAGTTTGGGATTCACAAACAGATAAACATGAAATACTGAGAGACCACAGGCTAATTTCTCAATTTATTTCTTATTTAACAATATGGAAACAAATCAGGAAATGCCCTACAGTGGTAAGTACATCAGGCACTGATATCATAGTATTTACATCACATAATCCTTCAGTTATAGAAGGAACTGATCTAAACTCTTGCTAGAAAATAAAACTGACCTGAGAGACGCACAGAGGCCGAGTTTTGTATGGCTTCATTTTCCAGCTCTTTGACATTGATTTGTACTGTAGATATAACATCAGGACAAACTCCATCAGAAATTCTAATTTTTAAGTTATATATTCCTTGAGGAGTGTTATCCACCATCATCAAAGAACCAGTCCTCTTATTTAATCTGAGAGACCTAGACATAAACCTTCAGTTAGGAAACTTCAATAAAACAAAACTGAGCACTTATTTAAAATAACATAATTCAGAAGGCTTTAAATGTTACTATGAAGGTTATAGGATCAAAACTTACAGGGATTAGCAGACAACCACAAAAAAGCACCAGGAACACCTTAATTCAGAAATGACAATCTGCAGATTTTATAAAAAGATGTTTCTGTTACAGACTTTCCCAAACTTGAATAAAAGCAGTGTGTAACTGAAGCATGGGGTTCAACTTCATCACCATGGGCAGGTCTGTGAGATAAGTAACAGCAAGTGTCTAAACCACACAGTCATTGCAGGTTCTCATTTTCCATCTGGAACAAGGTAAGGTCTGTCTGAAATCTCTGATAACATCTTCATTTGCCACCTCAAAGGGACAGTAATCAGTAATTAATGGAAATATTCCATGACTACTATTACGGACCAGTAACCTCTTAACATGGAAACAGGCTCAGGGACTGCTGATGGACAGAAAGTCTTGTCTTTAATTTCAGGCTCTATGAAGTTTTTAAACTCTTATTCATGCCAGAGAAAAAAATTCACATTCATTTTCTCACCCATTTTCTGTATTTCAAACAGCATACAACTACACTATATGCCATCTCATTTCATGATATGAACAAATAACGCATAAGCAGGAATTAAGGATCCAGTTCAACTTTTCTATTAATAGAAAAAAACTCCACTAATCTGAGTCATAGTTTTCACATGCAACTGTGAATTCAGTCATCGAAGGAGATCACCAAACTCCTTTCCACTTTTGATGAAATTATTCCATTCTGCCCTTTTAAGTTTGGGATTTGTATTCCATCAACTCTAACATGTGAGAGCAAGTATTAAAAATTTCACCTATGCTTAAATTGGATCTTACAGAATGCACATTTTAAATAAATTAATGATGACAATCTGACTAAAAGTCAGCACCACAGTGTGATCCTGCCTTCTCTTGGAAAAAATATTTCATGCATTACTTTCTTAATATCCAGTGACCCAAGTAAGAAGAAAAAGAGCATTCAGAAGGTACACTCCTTAATACACTCAATAACTCTGTCTTTATGCAGATCCTGAACACAAAAAAAATATATGGTAAAATAACTAAAGAAGCATAAGTATTACTCATTTTGACACAAATACAATCCTCACTCGAGCAGTTTTCCTTCAGAGACAAATGTTTTATTGTCCCAGTCATCTTGATCTGGTGCAAACACCTCCCCAAGCACTGTTGTTGACCATTTTCCTGTTGAGATAAATTATAATAAATCTGCATTTAATTTTTGCTTTTCAGTGCAGTTTATATAAATATACTTTACCCACTCCACTTTAGTTAGGAGTTTACAGAAGAGGAGTTTCATGATTTAAATATATAAACCACTTAAAAAAATAAAGAGGTGCATGAGAGAAATCATGTGTAAAATTACACATATTCATGCTATATATGTGCAATATATATTCATGAATCTGATTATCATATCCAGATAGCACTTACCTTTGTAACTGTACACATAGACTTCCTTATGGCCAGACTGATGGCAATTGTCATTTTCATCACCAATTGTTATAGTCAGGGTACTTGTAGAGCTCATAGCTGGCATCCCACTGTCTGTTATAACTACTGGCAGATGAAACACCTTCTGCTCTTCTCTGTCGAAGGACCTCAAAGCAGTTACAGTTGCTGTGCTATTTCTGTTGTCAGTGAGAGAAAAATCCAAAGAACTCTGATAATCTGGTGGCAATGAAAATGTAAAGGGTGGCCCATTTTCCTCACTGTCCGGATCAAACGCATGAAGCAGTCTGGATGTGTGGTTCATAGGCACTATCTCAGGCCTCAATGTATTTTCCCAAACTACAGGCATGTATGGTGCCTCAAACCTTGGCCCGTTGTCATTAACATCAAGCAAGTTAATCAGAACGGTCACGCTTCCAGTGTGGGCAGGTGTCCCTTGATCTGAAGCTTGTACAATTAAACTGTACTTGTGAATGACTTCACGATCTAGTGTATTGGCCACAGTCACGTGGCCGTGTCGGTCAACCGCAAACTGTCCCATAGGATCCGAATCTGACCTGACAGAATAGACTATGTTCCCATTCAAACCAGAATCCTTGTCTGTAGCTCTCACGGTAGTGACTGTAGTACCTACAGGCACATTTTCAAAGAAAGGGCTTGTCTGAACGAACTGAGAAAGGAAAACTGGGCTGTGGTCATTAGAGTCTTCAACTTCGATCAGGCACACTGCAACACTAGAAAAATCAGGATCTTCCACTGCAACAGTAAGATTAAACTGCCTTTCATGGGGATTCTCAAAATCCAGGGTTTTTTTCAGTCGAATAGTGGCACATTGCCATTCTGTGTCATTCTCAATGTAAAACTTCTGATCTGGGTCTCCCCTAATAATACTGAACATTAATTCTGCGTTCTCCCCAATATCTCCATCTGTAGCGCACACCTGCAGAACTTCTGAGTCGATGGCACTGTTTTCAGGAACTGTTGCCTGCCACATCTTTTTTGTGAATTTAGGTACATGATCATTGACATCTGCAATCCAGATAGTGGCAGTGCCAGTTCCTGTTAGCCCTCCCCCATCTCTTGCTTCAACAGTAAGAAAATAATTGTCAGTCCTCTCTCTGTCTAGCATTCCCTCCGCTACATGGATTGTACCAGTATCGGGATTGATATTAAACATGTCAGTGCCAAATTCATTTTTTACATTCTCTGTTATCCTGTAGGTCAGGACAGCATTCAGACCTACATTTGGATCGTCACGATCAACTGCACCCATTTCCATGACCAACGTGTCTGCAGGAGAATTTTCGAAAACACTCCCTCTGCAATCATCAGGCATGCACGTGAACAGGGGTGCATTGTCGTTTATATCCCACACGTTAATCATCACATCAGCAAACCCTGTAAGTCCTTCTCCACCCTCATCAGTAGCCAATACAACAAATCTCCACAGTGCCCTCTCCTCCCGATCCAGCATCCTGTGTGAGTAGATGCTGCCCGTTTTCTCGTCTATCGTGAAAGCATCAGCTGCACCGTGCCCGTGCAACGAGTACCTCACGTCTCCTTCCTCCACACTACTATCGGGGTCGTTTGCCATAACCTGCAAAAGTTTTGAAAACAAAGACATAGAAATTGGAACATATGTAATGGCTGCATTATATCCTGTAGGCTGCTACAGTCTAAAGGAGCCTGAACAAAAGCACCTGACGTGCCACAAACACATGCCAGGTACTCTGCGAACGGGCGGTGGCTGCGGAGCAGCTCGGGGCAGATGAATGCACTTTGCACTACAGTAACAATGTGGGGATTAGAATATTAATCTTTTTTTTTTCCTATTTATAGAGGTAATTTAACCGTGTTATTCTGACAGCTATTTTTAAATGTTAGTGGTTTGCTTTTTAGGATCACAAATGATCCACCCTGCTTATCCTACTTATTTGCAATTATTTTCCCATAAAAGTTCATTTCTCTTCATCCGCTGACAAAAAAAAGCTCAGTAGAACTAAATTTCATTAACATATATGTGCTGGATTATTATGAACCTGTGCTCTTTCATTGATATAATACCATCTCCAAAACTGCATACATTACCTGAAGTACAAAGATGGGTAACCCATCCAGTTCCTCAATTATACTTCCATAGTATTCACTGGTAGAGAAAACTGGAGTCTCATCATTTTTATTCATGACATTGATGATGATAACAGCATAATCTTCCCATTTCCCATCAGAGGCCAACAAGTGAATCTCATACATTTTTGTTTCTTCATAATCCAGTAGCTGGGTAATAAAAATGGCTCCAGTTTCTGGGTCTACATCAAGTACTCCTCCCATGTTTCCAGCTGTGATCTGATAGCGCAGTTTAGCATTTGTTCCTGTCAATTACCAACAGTGTCAGAAAACACACATTTCTTGAAGAAGATGAAAAAATGGGATGTTAAGATGAAGTACAAATCACAGGATAACTGATTTAGATATTATAGTTTTGTGGTCTTTAGAAACATGCAGCTACATCAATTTACTTAACAGCATTTTTGATTCTTCAATTTGTGTCTAATTATAAAATGTGCCTTTGCAATGAAGTATTAATTCTGCTTCTACTTACAATCCCTCCAATTCACTGAAGGATCAAAATGACTGGCCAAGGCTACAGGACAAATTCTTATTTGCACTCATATTCATTTATACATGGGCTTTACCAACAAAAAGGGAAATAACATATTAAACCAGAGGAGACAGTCCTAACAGAACTTCTCAGAATTTCAGCTGCAGTACCAATTTGCCAGTGGTTTTACATCAAGTAAAGACTTTTAACCTTTCTGCATGCTCTAACTCCACATTACGATTCTTCTTCTCTTCTTTCACAGCTACATCTTTAGTAATTTACTCTATTAAGAGGACAGAAACAAAGTGCCATATATAACCATAAGGTCCCCTGATCCATCACTGTATAGTAGATTTACAGGCAGCCTATGTAACAACCTAAAAGTTCCTTGAGTAGGTAAATCCTTCTTCAGTACAACCTCGCTGCATTTGGCTCAACCTCCCTGAGTGGGTGAGATACCAACTGCAGCCAGGATGTACTTGCACTTCATGGACATGCTGACAGAACAGTCCTCTGGGACTCATGCAACAAAAAAGGTATGTTTCACTGTACAGCAAAGTCAAATTAGTAGTGCACCATGGCCAAAAGAAGGAAGTCTGTACTGTTCCCTCTCTGCTTTATGAGTACTGGTTATGTATTTATTTTTACATGACTGAATGGCTGAATTCCTGAATGATTTGCAGATAGAGCAATATAGCTAAGACACATCACAAGCATTTAGGAAGTCTAGTTTCAAATGTGAGAATGTGTACCAAAAAAAAGCACAATATAACTATACTGCCCATAGAGAAAACAGATGAATATCACTGAAATCAAGTTTCATTCATTTTAGTCAACCAGGAAATTTTTATTGGTGCCCATCTGTAAGAAAATGATATGATCTATAATAAATTTGTATTTGCTGGCACAGAAATTATTCCCCACCATCCCACATTAAATGCATTGCCTCCCAAACTAAAAGTTATTTGACTCATGCCTCACAGCTTCATTATGAACTACTACTGTTCATGCTCAGTCAGTTCACACTTAAAATCTAGAGACTAAAAGACATTTTCTTTTCTAACGCCACTAAATATGTCTTGGTGCGTTGAAAATAAATCAATAATATTTTAGACACAGCTATGGGGAATTCCCATACTTTACCTTCGTCTTCATCATTAGCACTGACTCTAATGATAGTCGTGCCCACATCCTGGTCTTCATCCACATTTACTTCATAGACACTCTGAGTAAAGACAGGCTTGTTATCATTCACGTCACTGATAAAAACGCACACGTAGGCTGTGTCTAGAGGGAGAAGAAACAAGAGATTAGAATATTCAGCTGTGCCACTTCTGTCAGCTGCAATTCCTTAAACTGCCTAGCTACACATGAAATGCAGACAACACAGAAACAAACCCTTGGGGTTGTGGACAATATATATACCAATATTACTCAAAAGCACTTGGATATCAAATGCATGTCACATCCAGTTTGTTTAAGCAGATAATATGTGAATAACTGATGCTCAATATGGCAATTATAAAGTTTTTAGCCATAACTTTTTGCCCTGAAGGCACAAAAGCTGAATTTTAAGTCCTAATTTAGGCACAGCCATCGACTGAGAATAAGATTTTCTATCTTGAACTGTCCTGCTTCATACTTCATAATTACTTTTGACTCGATACAGCACCATATGCAGTGCATTGAGAAACATCTCCATTACCCAAAGATCTGCATCCTACCGATAAAGGGCACATCTTTGCTAGCTAGTAAATACTCTCTAAACTCTATGAATTCCTGGTTTTCTTCTAATTTCAGAACAACTTGCCTGATCGTCATATAAAATGCTTCCAACAGAACTGTTGCAAAAAAGGTAAAAAAAAAAAAAAGGACATTCATTCTCAAGTACACTTGAAAAAAGGAAAGTAACATTTTGTCTTGCATTTCCAACCTCCTGTTTTCAGACACCAGTCCAAGTAAAATCATACAACAGACACTCATCTCTTACCAGAGTTTGGCTTCCCATGTTTTCCAGGTCGAGCTGATTCAGAGCCATCTACTGCCTTGACTTCTAGAAGATAGGACCCCTTCTCCTCTCTATCAAATACTGAGGCAGTGTATATTGAGCCTGTCTCTGAGTCCAAGTGAAAATATGTGTAGTCGCTGCCACTGTCGTGTAACAAGGAGTAAGTTATCTAAAGGATTAAAAAGAAGCCATTAATCTATACTTTCCTTTTGTTGGATGGTTCACTACTTAAAGAGAGGAAGAACAGTCTTGTGTTTGAGAATCTTATCAGGGAAAGCTGGGTAAAATCGCCAGCTTGAGCAATCTAGTTTGAAGTCAGATAACTTCCTTGCATGTTGACTGCCAAGACGTAAAGGAAGTGCATTTGTCTTGTCTAATCAGTTCCCAAGTTCACTAGTTCACATTTGCACCGTGCTTGTGCAACAGCACCCAAACTCAGCTGCAGATTCCAGCTACTAATACATGCCCACAGGCGAGCTGAATTTGAACTTGCTCAGTGTGATGGACCATGTTCTAGTCTGTTATGTGTCTGGTTTTGTGCACTTGACTACAGCTTGCACTCTTATTCTTAGGATATATCTACTTCTAATTTTTAAAATCAGTAACAAATGCATCCTCTTTTGGTCTTCACTTGATGTATTTTCTAAGGACTCAGTTTTCAGGACCCCCAATGACTTACAACTCACATCTTAGGTCTATGTAGACCTTTCCAAATCAGTGCATTCTATAGCAAGTTTTTCACCTGAACTACAGGTTGTATCAATATTTGTTCTTTGTGTTCCATCTCGCACCTACTAATCTTAATTGCATTTTTCACATGGCAAGAGAGAAAAACATCTCATTAACCATTTTATTTCATCTGTTTCCCTTTAGTCGTTCGTCATCCCTTTTTTAGGTCAAAGACTTCTAGTCTATTTAGCCATTGCTCACACAGAAGCTATTCCATACCTTTCCTTATAGAAGATGTAGGTCCCCCCCTGCTTACCTCACCATTTTGACCAAGGTCAAGGTCGGTGGCAGACACCTGAACGACAAATGTCCCCACATCAGCTCCCTCTGTTACTGAGGCTTCATAAATAGATGAAGTGAAGAATGGGACATTGTCATTGACATCTAAGACATCAAAGAGTGTATAAAGAGAAAACCATAAAACTTTGAAGAAACAAAAAGTGCTACAATTACACTCTAACATCACTGAACAGCTTACACACCTGTTATATTAATATAGACTGTAGTGAATGCTGCCAGTGGAGCTGCAGCAACGTTCTGTGCTCGAACCCGCAGCAGAAAGCTCTTTGTTGTTTCATAATCTAGGGGCTCAGCTACCAGGATTGAAGCAGAACCATCGTGTCTGTTTGGAGTCAGGCAGAAATGAACTGGCATGTTGGTCTCTGGAACGAGTCCCTCTTCTAGGCTGTAAGTCACACGGGGATCACCGAGGGGAGAAGTTGCTTTGACAGTCTGCAGGGTTCAAAAAGATTGTGTAATCAACACTTTTGTAAGTACAGCAACAACTCCAAAAAGTCTTTGTGTACTGACTCTCACAGACCTTCAGCTCTCAACAGAAAACACTAGGACCAGAACTTGCTGATACCAAATCTTAGCCCTGCCTGGTACAACTATATGCCACAAACAGCTGCAGCCAAAGGTTACCAGTCATTAAATGTTTGGTACTCAGGCTTTTACCCTAAAAATATGTGCTTTGGAGTTACCTCGTAAAGCTGTTTCAGCTACTCATTTCAAGCAATCAAAACGAAAAACTTTAAAGTACTTTAAGCTCAATAATCACCTCAGATAACACAAAAGCATTACAAAAATCAGAAAACCTACAGTGTTGTCCGAATGGGCAGGAAATTAAATAATGGTTGCATGCATAGAAATTAAAACAAAAATATCTGTCACCCTTAGAATTTTTGAAAGAATATGAATAGCAGAACACTGGTCCCTACAATACACAAAACTGTTATAAAAGCTCACCATATTTAAGTAAATATGCAACATTCAATTACTCTATAGTCTTAGAACTCTAGAGAGATAAAAAGTTTGTCCCGCCCTTACCAAAACTGACACATCTCGTGCAGTATTCTCTGGAATAACAACCTCATAGCTCTCTCTTTCCCACTGTGGAGGCTGGTTTTTTGCACTGGTAACAGTTACTACAAGTTCAACTTTACTGCTCCTATTGCCTCCATCCGTAGCAATGATCTCTTGAATTATGGAAGACCTCTGAACAGCAAAAAAAGGTTTTGTTAACAGAGTTTTGATCAGGGCTCTGATGAGCTTTTTTTTTTTACAGAATAAATGAATACATAAAATTAAAGGCACACTTAGAACCTGCACAGGAGAAAAAAAAAAAATTGACAATTGCAGAATCCTGAACCCAGAATACCAAGGAGGTGCAAGGTTGCTGAAAATTTTGTAATTTGCTTTGCTTAATATTATGAGAAAATGTTGCTATTTGTCTGAATAAACCTTAGCAAATTTCACAGTTTAAAACAAAAACAAAACAAACAAAAAACACACTTTGTGGAGCCTCTGAATTCTTAAGGTTACCTATGAAAAGTTTTTGTTATTAGGTCTGTAGGGTTCTTAGATTCAATGAAGAAAACCTATAGAAAGGACATGCCTTTAGTAAAGTTTTGTGTCAGTTACTCAGAAGTTAAACTTTGTGCCTAATAGGTATTTAGAGATTGAAATCTACAATATTTTTGTTTCAGTACAAACTACTTTACAATTCTGAAAATATCAAACTGCTTACGTGGGTATTTAGAAATGGCTGAAACTGGTAAACTGTTTCAGGTAGTTACCTAAAATTTTGTTCATTATGCCATCCCCTTACAGAGGTTACTATGCTTAATCTACCAAGACTAACATGCATGAAGTTGGGAATCCATATCAGATTCAAAATTTCAAACTTCCACATTCAGGTTTGTGTCTTAACTCATTGCCTGTTAACATCATGGAGTCCTACACTCGGGTTCCTGCTCCCCTGTTTACAGCCTCAACCCTCCAGTCCCCAGTATTACTATGCCAAAGCTAAAAAATACTAACAAAATGGGAAGAACAAGTTCTCAGAGGAACTGCTGTCAGCTGCTACTTTCCAGCAAGAAGCAGGGCTTGATTACATGCAGTTCACAATCATTGAACTCATCAGCTAAATGTCTTACACTTAGACATGTTTAATCATGACACACTGATCCTTTAATGTGAAGGGGTAAAACAAACTCATGCCCTCAGCCCCTCCTGTGATATATTGATAGCCAGCTTAAAAAGAAAAGCAAGTACCACACCTGAGAAATGGGCTGGTTCACAAACACCCAGCCTGTAGTAGGATCAATTTGTAAATAATTTGGTTCTTCATTTGCTAATGAATATGTAATGGCAGCATTTGAGCTGTAGTCATCATCACGGGCTGCAACACGAAGAAAACTGGTCCCAACTCTTGTGTCCTCTTTTAGGAAATCTAACGTAAGAAAGGACATTTCAAACTGATGGTTAATTCACTGAAGCAGATCTTCAAAGTACGTCAAGTAAAGAAACACTAAAGCAACAACATATGGAAACTATAACTTTATATTCCTTGGAACAATAGCCATAAAAATCAAACTGAATATTTCAAAGAGCTGCTAGTGCTCCAGAGCTACAGATCATATTTGAACTTCACATTATCACATTCATAACCTGGAATTCTTCTCTCATAAGACACTATTTTTTTTTCTTGTATTTATGCTAACAGACTAGTTGTTCTGTGGGAAATACACATAAATGGAATTTTCATTTACTGCATAAAATCAGAAGAAAAGGACCACACTGTCAGAAACTACTTTCTAGGTTGCACAGTGTAACTAACTGAGAATTATCAGTCTTCTTTTTTAAATTAATATTATACATGCCTCTGGGTGTTTATCCATGAACAGGAAGGTTTTTTTGAAGAACCAAGAAGGAAAGATAAAACAACAAACCATGAAGAATTATGAAATTCAAATGGGAGAAGGAAATGCACGTAATCAAAAATTACAACCAAAACTCATTAATCAGAAAAAGAAGGATCCAGATAATGCTCAGTGCTGTACACTCATATTCTTACTACAGCTTTCACAACTCTGTATAGTACCACAGCCAGTAGGTACACCCAGGTAAGGAAAGATACTGCCATGGCTATTGCTTCAAGGAATTTTTCCACAGGACACCCAGGAAGGCCTACAAGTTAAGACTGTACTTGTTGCATTGCATGTTACACAGAGTAACAATCCTGCAATTAATCTAATGCATCTCTCACTGCAATCACCTACTTGGTCACATGATCTACTGCCAGGAAAGACAACCCCCCAAAATCTTAGACATCAGGTAAGCTCACACTCAGGGCACCGAAACTCTATCCAATGACTCTCAATTACATTCATAGTGGGTGTTTTCAAATCTGGGGTCATTGTCATTTTGGTCCAGGACGAGAATATTTATCTGGCATATTCCAATGAGTGGTTCCGCTGCCTGATCTGTTGCTGTCACACTGATGGGATATTCCCTCTGTTTTTCTCGATCCAATACCTGAACAGTTGTTAGAACCCCTGAAAACAAATTAAATTACCAGAAAGTTAAAATACTATGCATTTGACAATAGTCTGCATTTAGCTGTTTGTCTGTTGATACACTCAGCTACAATGCAACACGTTAAACAGATCCATAAGGTGATCTTCAGATTCAAGGATTCAATCACAAGATTTAACAATATCAAGAGCTTAAACTGTACTACTGAGGCAGATGCAAGCTTCATACACACATCTACACACAATTGGACTTAAATTTAAAAAATGGAGATAAGTACCAAAGTAACCTTCAGAGAATTAGTTTATTAAAAAATATTTCTTTTGAAGAGCAGTTAAATACAGGTTAAAGGCATGTTTCATATCTATTATCCTCCAAAAGTTCAGCCCAAATTTAGTTTTGGCCTTCCAAGACACAGTCTCTTTGCTTTTTGTAAGACTACTGCCTTTTAGATAAATTATTTATATGCCATTAGCAATGATGCAAGATAACTGGCACTTAGAACAGTGTTATTTTCAAATCCAGTTACAAAACCACAGAAGTTATTTCACACAGAACTTTCACATTTCAGGGAAAACATCAGTTCTACTTCACTATTGGATATGCATGAAACTAAAAAGAGAACATTTGTTCATACAATCAATACAGTTTATGTCTTGTCTGCTATCAAAAAACTAAATGAAAAAGTATGAGATCTGATTTTATTTAAGCTTTCTTTTCCTCAGTGTAACAAAGTGGTTTCTATGTGCCAGTATCAGTTCTGATACTTGCTTTACCTGTGTCAGGATGAATACTAAATGCTGGTAGGACACCACTTCTGTGCATCAAGCCATATTTCACTACACCATTGGCTCCCTCATCAGCATCAGTGGCTTCAACCTTCAACACAACTGTCCCTGAAGGCTGGTTTTCCAGTACAGAAGCATGTTCCTGATAGTACTGACACTAAGAGAGGGGAGGAAAAAAAGAAGGAAAAAACAAGGATTTACCATGCTATTTGATTTAAAGATAAACTAGAGGGGAAAAAAAAAAAATTTAGCTACACTTCTATTCATATGTACTGATGGTAATGTTTTATCTGTACCATGATTAATTTACAGACTTCACTTGCTGTTTTGCAGTTACACAAAGAATACACAAGATGAGGCCACTGGGCATCTCCATCTAATGAAAACATCTGGAGAAAAGGTTACAGTTGCATATGCTTCCAAATGCAAATATTATTTTATATTAGCCAAAGTCATAAAAAAGAGGCCACAGAGTTGCCAAACCACAGAATTGCTTTGGTCAAAAAGAGATTTCTACACAAAGTAACTTTATGCAGGACAGATTACTGAGAATTTCCAAGACTGACATGAAGTCACTGAATCCTCAAAACATACAATATTGCCTATCAACATTTTAGTCATCAGCATCAAACTTGAAATTTATAGACAAGAGATCTTCAATATGAAATTCACATTCTGAAAACATTCAAGCATTTATTTTTTACAGTACTTTACAAGCTAAGCTAAAACACTTTCATTGCTCTCTCTCTCATCAGTTCCACACATGCAATCATCAGAAGCCACCTATGTAATTTAGGGAGGTATTTTTGAATATTCTGTAACAATACCATTGCATAGACACCTCTACCTACTGATCCCTCCACACACATGTCACACTGAACCTCCAAAAGTCAGTCACTCAACCTCATCTTCTAAAATGCCAGAGATAAGATGTGGTTCAGGAAAAAAACAGTGCTCACAGGAGCTGTTCTGCCACAAGAAAGGGGATGGAAAAGATGGAGACAGCATCAGGCATCACTCAGTGAGAGAGGGAAGCTGGACCACTTCTTGAATAGCTCATCTGCTGCACTCCTGGCAGTGACAGCACAGTCTTAAACATTTACCACATGGTCTAACAGAAATCACTGAGCCTCACGTATTTACCTTTGGAAAGACAGGTTTGTTGTTGTTGACATCATCAATTTTCACAACAACCTGGGCAGTACTTGTAAGAGAATGGGGTCCTCCAGAGGTGTTATCATCAGTAGCTGTGATATTAAGCACATACTCTGTCCCCTGAAGCTTAGGAAATGGACTTGAACGAAGTCTAACTAGCCCTGTAAAAACAACAGGTTGTGGTGGGGTTGGTTTGGGGTTTTTTTTTTGGTTTGTTGCTTTTTTGTTGGTGGGGTTTTTTTCCTACATTAACCAATTACTGTTATTCTTCTCACTAGTAAGCACAATAACAAACCCTTCTGGTTTACCTATTTATGAATAAAGCACAAAGCTGCTACAGTTTCATGCAACTATGGTATTTTTACTGCAGTCTGATATTAAAGCAGAATTAAGACAGCACAACAGGTTTGTTTGTCTGCAGATATGTCTACAGAGTTAAATGAGACAAGAGCTAAAACTTAGCTGACCTGCACATATTAGTTTGACCTGCACATATTAGCTTTCCTCTAATTGCTGCAGAAAAAAAATAAAACAGAACAAAAAGTCCAAAGAAACACTGTGGCAGACTTCTGTTTTACCTGCCCCACCAGCAAGCCTGGCTATGGCCCTGTATCATTCCTGCAGTGAAGCACGTGCCACCATGCCACCAATGCCACCAGTGCCACCAGTGCCAGCCCAGCTGAAACCAGTTCAGACTGACTTTCCTGCAGCACAATCACAGCAGCACTTGGCTACACAGGCATAGCCTCAGAAACCCCTATTTTGCTACTCTCCTACGTCACCCAAATGATACATCCTGCTGGCTGGGACATAAAGGCACTGTCAGAGAAAGATGCATGGAAGAGACTACAGCTCTCTGAGACCATGCAGTAAGAAGCTGTCATTCCTTTGCTCCATCATCCACCAATCACCTCAGGCACAATATTCATCAGGTACAATTGCAATTGTCATTACAACAGAATATTGTTATAGCTTCAAAGTCACTCATTTCGCTTGCAAATGTATTGTTCTAGCAGCAACATTTCTTTTTGATGCATAACTACTTTACCTTGGCAACAAGGGGGTAGAGAATATTCCCCTGACATCCCTTCTGAAAAGAAACTGCTGTGAGCCACTGTATAAACCTTTATTGTTTATGAAACAACAAAAGCCCAAAAGCATTTAAAACAAAAAAAAAAATCTTATGTTTCTAAAATTAAGGTAATTGGTAAAGAAGTATGAAAGTACATACACATGATTATCTATATTAAAACTATGGTGCTAATGCTAAGAGATGCTATCAATCAAACATTAAGATTCTTTGAGCACTACAATAAAGATTTTCAGAAGCATCAGATAAGACTACCCCTGTGGCAATTAGACTGCTGTTCCTCTTGGAGATCACAGAACCACAGAATGTCAGGGGTT